TAAAGTTGGGAAACAACTAGAGATAAACAACAGCTCTATGGGAAAATCAAGTGCTTTTAAGTAATCTCATCAGGGTTTTAGAAAAGATCTGGCCCCTGTGCAGACTTTGCACAATGCACAATAAAGTGACCTGAATTTGACTGACAAGCAGTTCTTCCCCAGCCTAACTATCCACCAACAAAATTAATGTAGGGCAAGATGGCAATGCATCTACAACCCTGTCATCTCTGCAAAACAGAAAAGAAACTAAGCCAGACCAAAACATTTAATATTTTTGTAACTAAATTCAACGTAGAAAAGAGTTTTTCCCATCTGCAGCCCTCCTAAAAGAAACAAGGACTACAAAGGATACTATTCAAGTAGGTATTTTAATTGCTTTCCACTAGGAAATGCCCTGCACTCTGCAGGTTCGCAGTAAAAAGTCAGCTATACCCACGTTATTCAGCCAGCTGTAGGAGCTTAACAGCATTCTTTTTCCCTACCATAGTCACAAAAAAATGATGCACTGACTGAATATTCAGCAACAGCAGCAGTTCAACAGCAACAGACAAGGATATACAATACTAATGATTGTCACAGTAAACAAATTTAGGGGTTATGATCCCATTATTATATTTTGTTTACCTGCATTAGTGAAAATGAAGCAGTAGTCCCACTTAAGTTTATTCTCTTTCATTACAGATATAGATAGTATCCTATTAATGTACTAGGATTTGCTTACCAGCAACCAAATGGTACTTATGTAACAAGCCAGCCCTAATGTTGCATCCTCCAAACCGGCACAAAAGACCATTCCTCAGCCACAGCCACGCAGCAGAGCCCCAGCTGAATCAAAATCTACGTTCCCCAAGAGAGCAGCAGCAGAATAGCACCAGTGAATGACCCGGAGGTGCCCAGCCATGCTGGTCGGCTGCAGTCTCTGCTGCTGTGCAGGACTGCTCGCAGAACGAACAAGACTTGTGGCACACACGCAGCACCTCTCCTCCCAAGCGAGCGGCGGAGGGCTTCACATACGGCTATCTTTAGAAAAGCAGCATGCCTCAAAGCACAAATATCTCACCTTCTGAGCTCCATCTTGCTGGATCGATGAAATCACTCCACTGGGAAACCTCTCCCAAGCACTAGGCTTTCCCTTTCCAAAACACTAGGCAATCGTGTTTTTCTCTCCTCTTAAATATCACGTCCTGCCCAGCCTGTGGCAAATACACAAACTATTCCAAGGAGATGCTGTGTTTTGCCCTCAAGGGCTGCAGTGTGGGAAGGCAGGGAGCTGTGCGGGTGCCCACCTCCCCGCACCGCAGGGGCAGAGCCCAGGGCTCGGCTACGCGAGGCCAAGGCCACCTCGGCAGCAGCAATTCACCTCTCTAGCACCATAAAGGAATGGAATACATATATACAGAATACGTAAGGCTGCTCACGCTAGCCAAAGGAGCAAAGAATGAAGAGCCTCGTGCCCAGGGAATTTAGCTCTCAAAAAGGCCGTGAATCCTAGATGTTTTCCAGGCAGGTTTGCACCAGCAGATGTGACATTCGGGCAGGAACCTGGAAGCTCTATCACCCACTATTTCCAAATGTTAGTGACAAATACCTGGAAATCTGCACTGAAGAAGGCACCAGTCACAGTTCAGTAACGGGAAGCTATGCAGCTCTGGCACTGAATCTGCAGTCATTCCAAGTGCTGTGTTTTAATCTGCAGTGACCCCACAAGTGGGCTACTGAGAACAACTCAAACAAACTAAAGCTACCAAGCCAGTAGAAAGGCTGCTACTGAGTTCAACTAGCTTCTGATCACGCTGTCTCCAGTTCTGTGCATCCCATTGTAGGAAACACTGAAAAGAAAAACAAAACCTATTACAAACATAGCGCACCATGGTACTCTCTGCAACTGGTCTTCTTGCACCCAGCTGTCTCTGCTAAGAAAGCCTGAAAGAAATAATGTCAGGCTGAGTAAAAGCTATTAATATTTGCAACTGCCCTTTAGTAGTTGTAAGTAGTCTTGACACACATCTCAAGAACTTGAATTCCTCCTCCTTAAAATCAAAATTCAATCAAATTGAATTCCAGCCTTAAAATGCATATTAGTTAGAACTATTTCAAGTCTCACCGATGAGTCTCTGACAGATTTTGTGATTTCACACTTCCTTTCTATCTCGATGAAAAGGCATATACACTAGAGAAGAGTGTCTGAACAGAAAAATAACCTCATACGATTTGGCGTCATGCACCAAAGGGACTCATCAGTAAGCTGGCTCTCTCATTCCTTCCTCGGTGCCCTGCTTCCTCTGGGAGTTTGAAAACAGAAGGAAAAGAAACAGTCCCTAACCTGGCCACAGGAAACACAAACAATCTCCCTCTCAGTTTCCTGCCTTTATATGGGAAAAGTAGTAGTTGTCATCCTTCAAAAGCACACTGCAACCCAGAGAGGAGAAGAGCATAATTGGTATTTATTTGTGTTGTAAGACCTCAAGACCTCAGATATATAGATGAGGAGATACAACTTCTCTATAAACACATAGCAACAGACACATGCTGCTCCCACAGGATCACAGCTGGGAAGTACAAAACAAACATGGGAGTAAAGAAGTTTTCCTGGTTCTAAATATGGGGAATGAAGTCCTCTCAGAGGAGAGTTGAAGAAAGTGATGTATTACACAGACAATCCAGGATCTCTCCCTCTCTCCAGTGACCTCTCCTTCAACATTTTTAGCATCAATTCTTTCCACAGACGTTCACAGATAATTTGCCTCCAACAGTTGGCACCATTCATGGATGTAGATAGCATCTGCCTGGCTTTGAGAAGCAGTATTTTTAAAGGGACGCTTAATCTGATCTAAAACATGTTATCCACCAGTGACTACTGAAAAAAAAAATGAAGATTTATGCTTAATTTGCCCAGAAAAGCTTCACTACATTTCCATCTCAATCAGAACGCAGTTATTTTATCCAACAGAAAACAAGAAGCAACTTTTTAACCCATATATTTAGAAATAATGCTAGATGATGACCTGGTAGGATCCCATCTCCAATTCAGGTAACGTGGAGAACACAAGCAGAGTTCTAAATAACCCTTGTGGGCTCAGCTTGGAGCCTGGGCCAACAACCATTGCACCAGCCTGTGGTTTCCGTAGCACAATTAGGTTGATGTGCTCCATGTGGCTACATTTTTCCCCCACATCAAAGTAGCTCATCTTTGAATAAACCAATGACATGGCTACCAGGTTTCACAATGTCCATAAGAATCTTAAGGACAAAATGAAGGCATTCTCTCAATTGCCACCCTTACAACGGATTCATCAGCCTCAAAAACAAGTGGAGCTCGTTTCTTCACAGCAGATGCAACGACAGCGTGGCAAAGCAGCCAGAAAGAACTAGTCCTTCTGAGGAACATGTTTCCTCTTCACATATCCTTAGGACGGTCAGCTTCACTTCCAGCCACCTCTGGCACCTGCCATCTCCAGCACAAGCCTACTTTAAGAGGATGAGGGATAGCAAGGAGCTATAGGGATTACCGGTCACCTCCTAGGTAGACACAGGAGAGCCGAGGATGCCAGATATTTTCTGAATTAGGACTCACTCTACACTAATTTATAAGGACTCGTCTTTCTCAATGCTGACTCTCAGAATAAGTGACATGTCTAAGTGGTGGCTGACTCCCCAGCTCTGACACTTTTTTCTCATCTCCTTACTCTGTTTTTTAATCTGTGCAGCCTTTTCGTCACACCCACCACACTACTTCCCCACCACACTACTAGCGTGTCTGCAAGCACCGAGACTCCCATCGCGTGCGCGTCCCCCGCCTCCTTACGGAGCCCCAGGCCACATCCGTGGGGACGGCGTCTCCCCACAGCGCAGCTCGTGGCCAAAGCAGCGCGCTCAGACCTTGCGCTGCGGGAGGAAGGGCCTGTCCTCGCCCACGGGCTGCGGGAGACGGTCCCGACCGACCCTTCTGGCCCTTTGCAGCCCCTGTTTAGCCTGGTCGTCTTCCTTCACCAGCCAGCCCTTCGGTCCATGCTGCTTCTGGTGTCGCAGCAGCAGTTACATGTTAACTGTTAGGAGGACAAGGAGGAAACCTCTCCCCGGTTAGTGAGACATATTTGCCTCGTTGTATGATTGTTTCAACCTAATTGCATCTACAAATATAAATTCAGCTTTTACAAGCTGAAAGTAAGTTCCTTGGGTAATAGGGATAGGAAGAAAAACTAATACAAGGCCCAGAGGACAGAGAAGTAATTACAAACTACTGATGCCTTCTGCAGCAGGAGGGCAGTCTCACTGAGGTAAGAAAGTGGCAGTCGAGGGGTTTCGTTTCTGTTCCTTGGTCTAAGACAGAATTCCTCTGTGACTAGAAGTTACTTCATCTGTGAAATAGGGAACACTACTATATAGCAGGGGAGTATATCCAAAAGAACATGCAAAACTTATTTTAGTATTTGCAAATTATACCATCTGGATGGAAATTCTAGCTAAGTGCAGCATTAGTACTCGATTAGCAGCTTTTATGATATTCTGCTTAAGGTTAAGGACTAATGTGCTCGAGGCTAGGCAGGAACAGAAACCTTGGCTCTGATGGCTTCTGGTGGCACAGTATTGTTCCTGCCTGGTTTATTCTCTCGTAACACCTTTTTTTTTCCAGCACAGAAAAAAAATGCAGCCATAAGGTCTCACTGCCTTTTTTTTTTGGTTGTTGTTCTTTTTTGTTGTTGTTTTTATTTCTATAACATATATTATGCTATTCATCGTATTTGCAGTTCATAACAGTGACCTGCCTTAAACAAACATTTTACAGTACAGAAGAACAACTCCTTCTGAACAAAGGATTTTCATTATTATTACTATTCATATACCTGCTCGTTATGTTGGCAGCGGGAATAAGAAAGATGACATTTGTGTTAGTGAAACAAGAGGACGGGGGAAGAAAAAAAATAATCGTCTAAGATGTCTCAGTACCGGAGAAATACAAAATAACTCACTACAAAATGTCTGTCCCCTCCTCCTTGCAGGTTTCGTTCTGGTTATTGGCCTGGTGACTTTCTACCGCATCGGCCCGTACACCAACCTCTCGTGGTCCTGCTACCTGAACATCGGAGCGTGCCTTTTGGCCACGCTGGCGGCCGCCATCCTCATCTGGAACATCCTGCACCGGCGCGAGGACTGCATGGCGCCGCGCGTCATCGTCATCAGCCGCACGCTGACCGCGCGCTTCCGCCGCGGCCTCGACAACGACTACGTGGAGTCGCCCTGCTGAGCGCCCGGCCGTGCCGCAGGAGCCGCCGAGCAGGGCCGCACCGCAGCCACGCGCCATTAACATCTGCATCATTTAAAACTGAGGGTTGAAGGACATCACAGCGCTCGCTCTTGTGGGCAGAGGCTCTCCATTATTATTTGGATGGGCTCCATCTATATACATATGTATAATGCACATAATTTTATATATATATTTTATATTATATTGCCCTTCCCCTCTGCTGTACAGCACAGACTATCGGATTGTCCAAATCCTGACAGGACGTCACAGCCACTTGTACGCGGGGTTCAGCTGGAGCAGTCACGGAGTGTGTGAGAGGAAAGACAAGTCACACACACTCCTCCAGTCTGCATAATTTTCTCCCACTCCCCAAGGATGATTCAAGAAAGCTACAGGAGACCACTGATAACTATTCTTCCTTTAGAGGTAACAAACAGGCAATCTGAGAAAGTAGAAAACTCATTGCATAAGTGATAATTTCTAGCTGGAGTTTAAATTTCAGTTCTCTTTAGTCCCTTCACCTGCATTCATCTCCTCCTCCCCAAGGACTTTCTAATTAGCTGCATCTCCTTGCAAGCCAAAGTACGATCCACACAGGAGCAAAAAGTGCAATTCAACACGCTAATAGTAAAGTAAGGGAATGAAGAACTAAGTTGCATTTTTTTTTTCCCCAGATATGTCTTTTACATCCTCAAACTGAGGTTTGGGATTGTCTTGTTGCTATAAGAATAAGCCATTAGCAGACAGGAGGGTACCCAGAGGCCACAGAGGGTGCTGAAAATCCACTTGAGTGTTATAATGTGGCAAGGCTACCTGGGCTCCCTAACAACCTCTGCTACTATTAGCTCGCTTTATTGGGAAGGGCTACTGAGAACATACACTTCAGCCCAAATTATTTTCTCCTCAGCTTGTGCTCATTTTTGCCATGACATTTCCAGGTCAGAGTGCTATGTCAGGGACACCCAGCTCTGCCCATTGGTGGTCGGAGGAACATCCACACTGAACCCTGAGGCTTTGTGGCCACTGAATACTTAGCCATGAGAGAAAAAGACCTGCCTGGTACCTTAACTCAGAAATTAAAATCATTAGCACTCTCAAAATCAGGCATGATGTTTATAAGGCTCACAAGTGCCAAGTGCATGTGACTTTCAGGAAGAAAACCATCAGGTCAGAGGCTATTATATGGAAATACCTAAAATACAGGAACTAGAGGCAATGACAGATGTTTAAGAACACCTAAGGATGCCACTCTGAGCACAGTTACCAATCGGTTTGAAGGATCAGGAGCTGTGAACATTACAAATTCTTTAGGATTGCTGTGTTGCTCCCAGTTGAGTTTGTCACTTTCCTCTTTATCGTTACGTCCACCAAACTGTGCCACCCTTTGGTAAAAAGTGATCATCAAGCTGGCTCTTGAGTTCTCTTCCGCACCCAGTTCTGATGTAGTAAGAAACTCAACCCCAACTGCCACTCTGCACCATGTTCAAAGTGAGCAACTAGTCTCTCTGCAGAGACTGATGCTCTAGAACAAGTGCTTTGTTCTAGGCTATCAGGGTACAATACCATGAAGCTGACAGAGTTTCTTCTAACAGTAGGTTTGTAAAAACCAACTAAGATTTGTATTCGTTTGTCTGCATTACTTTCTGGAAAAGCTCTATGTTTTCTAGAAATAACATGCTATAATTAATTGCATTTTTTTAAAATAAGGTATTGGAATATTTAAAAGACATTATATTATTTCTTCTAATATTGCAATATCCATATTATAATGTACATTTAAATTTTAAATCAGCTATATGGTTGGTAAATTTGTAATATTTGGTATTACTGTGATTATTTTAGATGTATAAATAAAGTTGTGAATGTTCAGTTCTCTTCTAGTCATAATGTGGGCTTTTTGCCATTCAGATGCAAAATCTGGTTATCAATTCATCTCTCCCCATTTAGTAAAAAAGAATGCATACGACCGTATGCAACAACAGCTTATAGACAAAAAAAGACCACGTTAAATGTCTGTAAAAGCATTTCATCTTGCTTGAAAAATGGAAGGGGAACTGAAAAATAACAACTTCTTACAGACTTTTAATAAAAATAAACTCTACCCATGAAGACAAAAACACGATACCTTTTGATCAGCTTTATGGCTCTGAAAGCCTCGTCCATGTCTCCAGCAGTCAGATGGAAGCTGAAGTTCAGCATGGCATCCCGGGTAGTCTTATCACAGTCTCCTAATCCAACAAAATCTCTCATGGGTCTTCGGGCAACCATCTGGGAAACCTTTGAGCCAGACTCTGCTTGTCCTTCTGTCTCAGCTTCTCCTGACTAAAATGAGAACAAGATCAGTTAGGTACAAAGCAGGACAAAACTCCTTCACGTGTCTGAAGGATGTTCATTAGATGATTATTTCCACTGCAGTCCAGGGTTTCTACTTCTGTGGGATGGTGATCAAGAGTGAACAGTCACAACAGGTCGCAGCTTCAAGTGTCCATAAATAAGAATGTCACAGAAGAGATTAGTCTAGCATGACATTTAATGAACAACCAAAACACTTCTTCACCAATATCTAGGAGACTCATATGCAACAACAACTATTATAATTAAGACTCTCTGAAAATAACTAATAAGTCCTTCGGATTTCTGAAGATTTCAAATAAACATTTCTAAGCTTAGTCTTTTCTTAAAGATGAGTCTGTTATTCTAAAAGTAACAATTTAGAACCAATTCTTTTATTTTTGCCTGCATAGGAGGTGAACACCAAGCCTCAGATTTAAACCCTTTCCAGTACAACTGGCAGTTCTGGAGCCTCTGGAACTTCAAGCAGCAAGAGAAATATGTTTGTCTCCAATTTGGGGAATTTATGGAACAAGGACAGGAAAGGCATTATAATGAATAAGGGGAACTCCTGAGCTGACACTCAGTCAAGTAAATCTTGTTCCCATTAACTTCACTTTCTATATTTAAAATAACCTTGGTTATATACTGAATCACGTTTGCAACATGAATTAGTACAGAACAAGTAATTTAGACCTTAAAATGCAGTGAACTACTATAGGGAAAAAAATGGAAACAGAAAAAAGAAAAGAAAGTTGAATGAAGACTATTAGAATACTGCAATTATAGATACTTACAGGTTTATAGACCCATCCTCTCTGAAAAAACAACTAAAGGCAGCAATAACCATATGGAGAAAAAGAGAGAGAGAGATGTAATACCGAAGTAAAATGACATGAAACATGATAGGGGAAGGAAATGCAGCAGATCATCTTTGACCTTTCACATTAATGGAAAAAAAGGCAAAATTCTAACTACAATTCTAAAAGTTAGGTCTGCATGGGGAGACTATTGTATGCGGTCTGTTCTTTGGGAAGGGGCTACAGTGCAGAGTCCTGCTCTGAATCTAAATACATTGAACTAGAGGGAAGTCTACATAAAGACTCCCTGATTAGTAATTCTCCTAACTTAAATGAGGTGAGATTTATGCCTTATGCATGTGCAGGGGGGTTGGACTAGATGACCTCTAGAGGTCCCTTCTAAACTTAAGCATTCTATGATTCTATGATTTGGAGGATTCAAGGTATCATTAATATCACATTCCTTCAGACTCTACAGAAATAAGTGTTTTGGCCGAGCAGACTCCACTAGCTCCTCCTGGAAGGAGGCAGCAGTACAAATCACCATCTCAACAGACAGTGAAGAACTCAGGTCAGGGCTTGACCTGAGATCCTTTCCGTAAGCAATTTAAGTTTCATCATTTCCAGCATAAAGGTAACTATTAATCATGTTAAGATGCTCTTTTGGATCCGCATTCAAGTTTCCAAGAAGCTATACAATGCAGCCCTGAAAAAAGGAAAAGTCAATTCATTACAATTTCCCCCAAATTGGCAGAAAATCTGATATCAGAATGATCTCAATGTCACTGCTGCATATGATGCAGACACTACCACCGGAGTTGCTGCTACGTACTCCAGACTCAGTTTGAGTAAAATTGATTCCTACAGCATTGAAAAATCTAAGTTTATGGGAGGAAAAGGAACTGCAAATGATCTCCTCACCTTTTTTGCAAAGTAATAATGTGGCACCTCGATGCCCAAGAGAACCTGGTAGGATGAAGGTAGTGGAAAGCTTTCCTGAAGCAAAAGGCCATGCTCTTCAGTGCTGAAGAATGATATAATCAAAACATCCAGCTGGAAAAGGAAGCAAAGTATTGTTTTGTTTTTCATGCTGCAATATCCTTCTCTCATTTTGTTTTTATTTTCCATTTTCACTTGGCAGAAGCTGCTCTTGCAGATCACCCAACAGCCCCGCTCCCGACCCCCCGGCGGGGAGGGCAGGGCCGCAGGCTTCCTCCTCGCAGCGCGGGGCCAACACGTCCCTGCCCGCGCGGAGCTGCGGCCCCGCTGCGAGGAGCGGCCAGGCAGGAACCCACCTGTCCACGCTCGAAGGAATCCCCTGGCAGCCGACTGCGCATCTGGAAGTCTCTCTCTGAGATGTGACTCAGAGACAGATGGGTTTCACACTTTCTAGCTGTAATGTGGCACTATTTCTGCTATCATCTCAGCAGCTCAAACACTGCTGAGAGATATCGAGGAATATACTAGTCACCTACAACAGTTTCTGTAATGGTTTAAATCTTGACCTTAAACCAAAATTAAAGCACTTTAGCTGAAGTTAGTCGCTCTCCTAATTTGTTAAAGAACAAGCATACAGTTAAAACAGCTTTTGAATATAGGCCAAGAAATTGCACTCATTTTATACCTTTGATTTGTCAAAATTATTCAGAAGCCAAATCATTTTGTTTCTTTGTATTAGAAATACTGGGTTGAAATCTTCCCCTCTTTGCTGGAAGATGCCAGCAAGGTTTAAGACACTCAGTTACTTTCCACCATGGTCTTTCCACAACCTAAGTCATTGAATCAGTAAAAGAAAGCTTTCTAACTGGGAGAGATTAAAATAAAATAATGGATGAATCTGAGCACTTAATTCAATATGGACATTTTAAAATCAAAGGAATATTCTTCAAAATGAGACAGTTTTGTACAGATAAGATGAAAAAGAGTGCTATAAGTACAGGAGAAAGGGAAATTGTTCATCAGATGAAACAGCTTTTTGATTAGATTATTTGTGAACAATAAAAATAAAATATTTTTTGCTATTGTGAAAAGGTGTAAAATACAATTTGGTCTTGCGGGTTAGTGAAGAGCAGGCAGTTAACCACTGACAGAGGGAGAACTCCATGCAGAGCAAGATAAAAGGAAGACACCAAAAGACCATACTGTGCTCTCGGGCTGTTCTTCCTTCTGCTCTGGAGACTGGCAGCTTGTCTCCAGGACCGCTTCACATACAAACAGTCTTGGCTCACTCTGGTCCCAGAAATGGCAGAGAGGAACGTGACTGCGCAGCTCTGGGTACTCCACAGTGGTCCTGACGCAGGGAAAGACAACAAAAAAGCACAGACAGGGATATAAAACAATTGCAGCCTTATCTGTACATGAATATAAAGAAAGGCTAAAAAAGACTAACTAAATAATGATGATAACTTATCACAATGTGTGCAAATATATTTTTTTCAGAATGTGAGGTGAGGCAGAAGATTGTACTTCTATTTTTGCCAATAGTTTCAACCTCATAAAAAGCAGTGCAAAACTATGCCCATTAGCTCACCTAAGCATTTAGAGCTTGCTCAGTATATCACACAATTTGAAATCTATGTCTACTGTCTACATGTCTACTGAATCCCCAGGATATTCCTGATACATTTACTATAATAAATATATATTTTTATATGCCTTATATATATTTTAGAAGACTTTTCCTTTTGAAATATTGCATTGGTCAAACATATTGGCGAATGGAAAACAGCAGAAAACTCAAAGACATTGTAGAAGACCTCTCAACTACCTCTGTTAGTGAGGGTTTTAAGGAGTCTTTTTAACAAAGAATAAACCACAGCAGCATCTAAGTGCCTGCTCATTCAAGCTACTTAGAGAGCTGAATTCCATCTTTTAATCCCTTGCTTCCCTTGCCCTGCTACATCCTCCTGTGGAACAGCTATGCCCACTGGGGGAATGAGTTTTTGTGCACTCAGCAAGAGAGGTCTTCGCTCATCCTGCACCTACTCCCTAGTCTCCCTATCCTATCTCCAGCACGAAGCCGAGGACACAGATGCAACATGTGACATCCTGAGGCTCCGCACAGCCGAGGGCTCCATTCCCTGGAACTCTGCAACAAAGAAGTTCTATGTAACTAGCTCTTTCTTACAAAAGACAAT